TTCTTCTTTTGTCTAGTAGAATGACTCACTGGGAAAAACATTAATCACTTAAATTCATTCAATCAACTACTAGTTTTTGGAGTCCCTCCTATGGACCAGGTGCTGCTGTATGTGACAAGAACACATCACTTTACAAAGGAAAGGAGAATCCCTTACTGCACAGAGCTTACATTGTAAAGTAAGTACATACAGAGAGAGAGAGAGTGAGAGAGAGATTTTTTCAACTACCTACAGTGAGCCAGACACCAGAGATGTATATCATCTCATTTAATATTTACCCAAACCCTGATAATTATATAGTACTGCCCTAAACTACAGAATTGGAAACTGAGACTCAGAGGTAAATTGGTTTCTCAAGATCTGAAATCCCAGTAAATTATACAGCAGGCATTAAAATAAGAAATATCTGAGTATAAGGCCTATATTTTCAAAACAGTTACTACTAACTGAAAGAATACACATAAATAATGGTTGTGGAACAAACAGCTTCTGTCACAAGATCAGAAAACCCTACCCCTTTTACGGATGGCTTTCATTTTGAAGGGTTAGATCTTTCAGGCTCTCCTGATTTCTAATATCTGGGATTCTGCTTCTCCATAGAGATCTACGTTACTTTATTAGTCTATGATACTTTCCAAATTTTCCAGATTTCTAGATTTAGCTTGCAATGAGTCAACATTGCTGATTTTCTACACTCTAGTCTCTCCTTTCCAAACCAGATCTTCATAGGTTTCTGTTTTTCCCAATTAAGTTGAATCTATGAGCTTTCTGGAACTCATTCATTCTTCTAGTTTTTAATTAACAATAAAAAAAATACGGGACTAGAGTCTTCTAGGCTGCTCCTAGGAATGGAATAAAGATGCAATTAAAACAGAGAATCTGGGGGCGCCTGGGTGGCGCAGTCGGTTAAGCGTCCGACTTCAGCCAGGTCACGATCTCGCGGTCCGTGAGTTCGAGCCCCACGTCGGGCTCTGGGCTGATGGCTCAGAGCCTGGAGCCTGTTTCCGATTCTGTGTCTCCCTCTCTCTCTGCCCCTCGCCCGTTCATGCTCTGTCTCTCTCTGTCCCAAAAATAAATATAAACGTGGGAAAAAAAAATTAAAAAAAAAAACAAAACAAAACAGAGAATCTGTTCAACTCTAATCCACTAGTTCCCTCTGGCTTAGCTAATCAACCGGTTTAAAATTTTTTCTTGTTTTGTGTGTGTATGTGTTTTAATATCTCCAGGTCTGGTTATGATAAGGGTCATAATTCCTTTTTATTAGTTTAGTTTATTTTTAATTTGACAAGAAATATGTATACATACATATATATATGTATATACACACACACAAGGAAATTTATATATAGATAAATTTATATGTCAATACAAAAAAAAAAATAAACGAAAATACAGGTAAAGACAAGGAGAATAATCACCTACAAAATCTCCCTACCCAGAAACAAGCTTTTGCGTAGAATCTTAATATCCTAAAAATTTCTTCCTATCTATAGACTTTCTGTAAGTAATTCAAAATTTACTGATTTATTCAATTAATTGACTAATTCAATGTATAAAGTAAGTTAATTTTGCTAAACATTTCACTAAATTGTTGTTTAATCAAATTGAACAGAAGTCCGCATCAAAGTGCTATAGGTACAAAGTATGTGAGGTGTGGCAAATACGTTACTTATTGTATGTGTGTGATATATATAGTGTGATATATATGGTGATATACATATAGTAATATATACACAGTAAATGTGGCAGACATTTTGGATAAATAGTAAAATATGAAACATTTCTAACTTGAAGAGAACCTAAATCCCTTTCTCAAATTAACTTACCACATAACTGAATCTACCAGAGCTTATGAAAATTTATTACATTTCATCTTGAGCCCCATTTGGGAAAAGGGACAAAGTTTCTCTTCAAATTATAACTCACAAAGCTACTGCAATTCTATATGCACATCATATTGATTAATAACAGTGAAAAGAAGCGCTGCCTTCAACCTGGCACGATTCTATCTTCAGGGAATCCTCAGGTTATCAGGAGATGTGTGGTTTCGTGCTGGTAACATAGACCACTGTGCTCAATTTGGGGATTTGACAAACTAAAGTTTATTCAGTAGGCTTTGGCTAATTTCCTTTGGGAAATCATCTCAGTAAAATCCATAGATAGTGCTCAAATTTTGACTTTTAAAGGGACAAATTCACAAAATTAACACTTTCCAAACCTCTTCATAACCAGAAACATATGTGGGTATACCCTGACAGACCTATACGACTTAGAACTCGCTGGTATATGTGTGACATAACTGTTCCAAAGTAAGGCAAAACTTAGGTCTTGAACAGAAGTCTGAACACAACTCATCTCTTACATAAACTCTTGGTTCCACAGATGTACATCGAATTGATCAATCAGTATTAAACACAATTTTTCATAGCACATTTAGGAAAAAGGTAAGCTCTCAAAGGTATAATTTAGAAAGGAACAGAAGACAAAACTGATTGTTGAAAATCATTAAAAAGTCTTTTGGGTCCATTTTTAAAAAAGATATGAGCTATGTTAATATTATGTTGGCACCAATATTTCCATTTATGACCGTACTTTAACTGAAATTAATTCTTTAAGAAGATAGTCTGTAGTTATAACTTAAAAAATACCTCCTTAACTTTTTTTTTCCTACTTTCTTCTTTTCATTCCCGTTCTCCTTCTAAAATTTAATTAATGGTGATTAACAAAGTCTTCTTTCCTACCTATTATAACGGCAGCAAGCAAACCTCTGCCCTTCGCTGCAGAGGGAGAAATTCTTCGGTGCCTATTCTTCCGTGTCTGCACCCCACAAACCTACTGAAGCATCCTTTTTGGCTGATGGAACATCTCTAAGCCTCTGCTTCAAACTTTCTTGCTCCTGTCCCGTATTGAAAAACAATTCTCCATAAGTTACTTGTGTTTCTGCACATCTTGGAAGCAGAGACAATGAATGCTTTTGTTCTTGAGTATCTTTTCAAGAATGCTTGTACAGTGAACAATTGTGAAAGACAGAAGTAGTTCTCCCTATGGAGCAAACAGCAGGTTTGTTTACAGTCCAGGATAATAAAGATAATTTCTCCCTCTGCAGCAAAGGGCAGAGGTTTGCCTGCTGCCGTTATAAAAAAATCAAGTTTCCTAAGCTCAAGGAGCTTCAGCTATGACATAAACCCACTGCGTGTGTACGTGTCACCTGGCCGTCATCATATCACCCTGTAGTAACTGGAGCATGGGGAACTAATGCAAAAAATGACAATACTCTGGCTACTGTTATTACTGTGAGTAATAAACTGCCCTTTGTTTTCTGCCAGCGTCCGTGAAACTGTGGCCGATTTTTCACAGTTCTTGACATCTTGTTTCCCCAGTTTCTGTCCTTCTGCTTTATAAGATCTTCTCCACCCAGATCCCTTAGATGATGACTCATTTGTTTGCTATATCTTTCTTTCAATTCAGTTTCTCTCCACATTTCTGCCGCCTTAGTTGACCTTTCTGTCTAAGGTTCCCACTTCTCCAGGAAAAAAGAAGATCTGATTTAATGATAAGTGAGAATAAATTACAGGCAGAGGGATAAAAAGGATGAAAGAGAAAGTACGAATACAAAGGAAAGTGTAGGTTATACATGGACTATGGGCCCATGAGAACCCGTACGACAGCTGGGTTTTCAATTCTACTCCAATTTGAGACATCACTGTAGAGACCGATTATGTCTGGGGGCTGAGGAGCTGCATTACTGGGTGGGGTGCCCGTTCAGATAAATACAGTTAGTGATAAAATAATCATTATTTCTTCTTTCAGAGAGTTCCAGAGGAATGAGCAGTAGCTCTACACTTAGAAATTTACTAAATGTAGATTTCCAAGTCATGTACCCCACAGATTTTGATTCAGCTGAGTTGAGTGGGGGCCCTGAATTTTTCATTTTCAGTGAGTTTTTTGGTGAATCTGCTAAAGTTTGTCTACAGAACATTCTTTGAGAAACTCTGCCCCAGACACTGCCTCTTGATCTGGTATTACGCCTATTTTCTCAGTCTCAAAGAGATAGTTCAACCCCAAATATATAGATTAGTCAGTGACAAATGTTAGTTGATGGCAGTGATTTGCCCTGGCAGACACTCAATTGCCAGGTGTGTTTTGATAGTTATTTTTTGGCTCATGAAATTGAAAGATTCACATTAATATGAAAAAAAAACCTGCTTAAAGTGTTTTAGATTATATTTGGAATGATTCCTTCTTTTAATGAGGTATACATTATTAGCAATGGCTATATCCAGAAGAGTGTATACATAGAATAAAAAAAAAAAAAAGGAAGCTGTATCTTATCAATACCTTTGGTAAATACTATTATCCCAAAATTATTCTATTTGAGTAATTTAAATAATGTAAAAATTTTTGAAGGACTAAGGGGGTATTTTAGAAACGTACAGGCTATTTCAGTTATTACTATTGAGATCATAAGATATAAAATAGGATATTAGTGAAAAATATCTTAATCATTGTTTGAGATGCATTAAGAGAGGGTGAACCATGGCATTGGTAGCTCTGCAGGTATTTCTTAATATTCTAACTTTCTACTAATGATACACTCGGGAACATTCTTTATTCATTTTCTCAATATTTTTCAAACGAAATAGAATTAAACGACCCAAGTAATCGAAGTATCACAGCACTAGCTCTTCTCTTTGAGTACAGACCAACATACTTAATTTCCATTGGGTTTGATTGGGAGTTTCATGCTTCAATTTAACCAGAATACACCCAGGTGAAGCTCACGAGAAAGAAGAAAATGCCATGTGGGATTACTTGGGACAACTAATGTTACATAAAACAATTTGGTCAATCTTCTAACATGTCCACAGTTTCACTGTCAATAGGTGGTCTTTATCAATAACAGCACCTCTTAAAAAAACAGCAACATAAATTTCAGACAGTGTATTTCAGATGTTTATCTTTTCTTGAAAGTTATGCTGATAAAAGATGACAGGACTTACAGTTTACGACAACTTTTACTTTTTTCACGTCTGGGAATGACACATCATTTTCCGCACTGCATTCATATTCTCCAGCCTGGTCCCTTGTAATTCCATAAATGTCCAAATATTGTCCATTTTCAAATGGTTTTGCTACAAGAAAAAAAGTACAGCATGTTTAATTATAGCCGCCTGAGGCTTCATTCAAATAAAATAACAATCTCATGTCTTCCTATTAGATACTGCTGACAAAACAATCCCAAGTGAAACTGGGGAATTATTAAACCCTTTGTTCTCCTATGTTCAGAGGAAAAGTCAGAGAAAAAAGCAGAAACTGAACAAGGGATACTATAACAACTGTTTCCCCAGAACAGGATATACATGTGTTCTTTTTAATTGATTGTGGTCTCCTAACCTCGTCACACATCAAATAGAGCTCTGCACATTTCTGTAATTGAGTTCAACAACCTTCTAGCAGTGTAGATGAAATTCACTAATATGGCTTGGTACATATTGACTTTTATACAGTGTAAGCTAGCAACTTGACACTTAACCTAACTAAATGTTGCTTTTCTTTTGGGGAAATTTCATACTCATTCCCAAGGTTTCAAGCCAGATGGCTTGATAAGAGTATAGAAATACCTTAAACCATTGCCACATTTCAGTTTCCCAAAATTACTATTTTTTTATGAGAGGCACACTGCATATGCTATATATAACTGATATGATAAACCTCAGAAACAAGATATGATTCTCAAACTAAGGGTTAGGTAGTTATAAAAACTAAATTAGCTTTATTTTTTAATATTCTAGGAAAAACATTCTTATTTGACTAAAAATAGCACTAGAGTAAAAATATAAAAACATAATCACAGATAAAAAAATATGCAAATGAATGAAATTTGAAAAAAAAATACTCTTTTTTGAAATAATAGAATTTGTATTTGTTTGAAAGCAGAGACTCCTCAGGCAGGAAGGATCCTGATTATCAGAGATATGGCAGGGGAAGAATGGGCCTCTGTGAATTTCCAGAGGGGGGTCTCTTCTCCCTCCTTACACAGGTCTTGAAAAATCACATTTTACTGCATACCAAAGAGAATTGGAAAATCCCATTAAATGGTCTGTTTTGGGGGCGCCTGGGTGGCGCAGTCGGTTAAGCGTCCGACTTCAGCCAGGTCACGATCTCGCGGTCCGGGATGTCGAGCCCCGCGTCGGGCTCTGGGCTGATGGCTCAGAGCCTGGAGCCTGTTTCCGATTCTGTGTCTCCCTCTCTCTCTGCCCCTCCCCCGTTCATGCTCTGTCTCTCTCTGTCCCAAAAATAAGTAAATGTTGAAAAAAAAATTAAAAAAAAAAAATAAATAAATGGTCTGTTTTGAAAAGTCAACCTTATTTTTGTTTCCATCTTACTCTCTTGCCAAAATTACTATAAAGCTGTAGAAGTTAGAAAACTAGTAAGAAGATTCAGTTTTATAGGAATAAAGTATTCTGAAACTTAGGTATGGTGCTCCAAATCAAAAATCTTTATCAATTAACAAAAATGTTTTTCCTGTGGGCTCCCTTCTCTGGGCCTGTATTAGTCACTAAACTGCTTGCCGTCAGGTAAATATGACTTGGTTAATTGAAACCTGTACTATTTAGAATACATATGATTAAGTAATCTCTTCATTTATCTGGCTGACCCTAAGTTGTACACAGGGAAGAGTTATACTTCTAAGATGATAGTTGGCTGATATGCTATTTCAGGTATGCCGAGGTGAGTTTACAAAAGCAGCATGCGTCTTCAAATCCATATTCTTAAAATCTGATTTTATAAGTATCTTTTTAAAAATTTTTTTTAACATTTATTTTTGAGACAGAGAGAGACAGAGCATGAATGGGGGAGGGTCAGAGAGAGAGGGAGACAGAATCTGAAACAGGCTCCAGGCTCTGAGCAGTCAGCACAGAGCCTGACACGGGGCTCGAACCCACAGACAGTGAGATCGTGACCTGAGCCGAAGTCAGACACTTAACCGACTGAGCCACCCAGGCCCCCCTTTTATAAGTATTTTTTAGCTCAACCTAATGCCCTTGTATGACTCCATCCACTAATATAATATTTTCTATTCCTTCCTTTTTATCTTATTTTCACCCTTACAATGAAGATAATCTAGGTTTAAATGTGTCTATAAAAACTATTGAAACATAGGGAGGACAAAATCCTTATTCACATTCAAGAATTTTTTTTCTTTTTTTAAAATCTTTTTTAGTCTTTATTTTTGAGAGACAGAGAGGGAAAGGGAGGGAGACAGTGTGAGTGGGGGAGGGGCAGAGAGAGAGGGAGACACAGAATCTGAAGCAGGCTCCAGGCTCTGAGCTGTCAGCACAGAGCCTGACGCGGGGCCTGAACTCACGAACTGCAAGATCATGACCTGAGCTGAAGTCAGACAGTTAACCGATTGAGCCACCCAGGCGCCCACATTCAAGAATTTTTAAAGTATAACTTGAATTATAAAGTAAGGGATATTAAATGAAAATTAAAGTATGGGTAAAATTGATATATTATACCATAATTAAATAACTTAGTTGGCCAGTAAAAAATGAAGACAATCATGTATAAAAAGGTAAAAAAAAAAATTGTGAAACTTTTTAAAAACAAATTTAAAAGGGTCTAACTTATTTTCAATATTAAAGTGTTACATGAATATTCCTATTTCACATCTATTGACTGTTCATCCCTGGGATATATATCTATAGTCAGTGGTCTGAAAACATCATTGAAAGATAGCTTTCAACTTTGAATTTCTGATAGGGATCACAGGCTGGGATAGGTCCTTCTAGCCTGCTGTCTCCTTAGACGTTTCATCTTTCTGCTGCCAGGATACTTTATCTTCCAATTCACCCTGATAACTTCTCATCTTTCAGGTCTCTGAATAAGCAATATTTCCTCATAGAAACCTTTCCTGATTTAGTCACTACTCAAGCTAATAGTTCCATGTTACATACTTTCAAAAACAAAACAAAAAATCCTGCACTAATATTATGTGGCAAATACATGCTTGCTATTGTTTACTTAATTATTAGGAACTCTTAAATTAATTCTGTTTTTGTTATATTATAAGTTCTGTGATATAAAAGGCTACATCTTATTCCATGTTTAATATGGGCTTTGTGATATTTGTTGACTATATCATTAATGAAAGATAACATGATAGAAAGTCCATAAAATATAACATTTCATTTTCTCTACCTTCTCCAGCAGATTAATTTTCTTACTCCAATAATTATTAACCATGACACCAGCAATAAAAATAATAATATTTACCTGTTATTTATCCTTTATTATGTGTACAGTACCATGATAAATGCTTTTCATTATGAATTCCTCAGTTAACCTTAGATACGTATATCAGGTAGATTCTGTTATGTGGAATAAAACTCTATATGGTTAAAGACGTTAAATATCTTGTTAATGGACCTAGTGACAGATATGAAATTCAGAATTCCAAAACCTACGTGCCTGATCTGTATCCCACTGAAATGCTGCATTAATTTTTTCATTTGTAAATGGTAATAATGAAAATGCTTAGTGTAGAACTAAATTAGGGCATGTGTGTGTTGTCCTTCCTCTTAGAACTATAAAGCACTATCTGGATGCTAATTTAATTTTTGAATCATTAGTTTTCCTTGTATTACTTTTCCGTAGCTGCCATAACAAAAGACCACAAATTTACTTGTTTAAAACCATATGAGTTTATTATTTTCTGTAGAGTAGAAGTCCGGCACAGGTCTATAGTAATTGGAATAAAGGATCTTCCAAAAACATTCATGTCCTCAGCATTTGGGTCTGTGACTCTACTAGGTTTCATGCACAAAGGGACTTTGAAAATGTGTTAAGTACCTTGAGATAAAGAGACTATAATGGATGGCTAAGTCTAATCACATGAGTCTTTAAGTGTAGCAGGTGGAAGGGTGGGTCAGTGAGATGTGACATGAGAGGACACTAGTGCTGACTTTGAAGTTGGAGAAAGTGGAACATGAGCAAAGGAAAACTCTGTCCTCTGGAAACTGGAAATGGCTCTCAGCTGACAGCAAAAAATTGATTCTCTAGAGCTGAAAAAAAAAAAAAACACATCCCGTCAATACTTTGCTTTTAATCCAGTGAGATCCAGATTTCTGAACCATAAAGGTATAAAAGAGAAGTGTTTTAAGCCACTAATTTTGTAGTGATTTGTTATAGCAACAATATAAAACTCAAATAGGGTCTCCTTGGACTAAAATCAAAGTGTCAGCAGTGCAGGATCCCTTTCTGGAGGCTCGTTTGCTCATTCAGGTTGTTGGGAGAATTAAGTTTCTTGCTCATGGTACTGAGATTCTCATTTCCTTGGTGGAGGGCTATTCCTAGCTTCAAGGGGCTCCCTCATTCCTTGGCTCATAGCCCCTTCCAAGCCAGCATATGGTGGGTCAAGTCTTCTTCCCTTTTGAATGCCCACTGCTTCTTCTCCAGTTGCATCTCTCTGAACAGCTCTTCTGCCTTACTCTTCTAGTTTTAAGGACTCATGTGATTAAACTGAGTCCATCTGCCCAATCCAAGATAATCTTCTCATCTCTAGTTCTTAACTTCAATCACATCTGCAAAGTCTCTTTACTATGTACGGTAATGTAGTCACGGGTTCCAGGGATTGGGACATGGACATCTCTGGGGGCCTTTATTCCACCTACCACACTTCTTCATTAGACTCTGCAATTATTTTGCACATACAAATTGTGATTTGCCTATAATTTCCAAAGATAGCGGGAAAAGAAAATGTATGGTCAAATTGATAAAGTTGCTGAGCTCATTACTACCTCTGAAAAATATGAGTGAAGTTCAGAAAAATAAACTTAATTAAGACATTCCTTTGGAAGCAAATAATTTTCAGGAGAATGTACTGCAAATCTAACAGGGAATGTGATTCAGGGGTGTTGTTAGAGCACAAAAGTAGTGGGGTTTGAAGAAGCAATGAGAGGAGGGTGTATGGGCAGATAAATTATAGAAGCTGCCTACTGAAATGACTGCAACAGAGGTTTCAGAAGCAAACAAAACCCCGGAAATAAAAACTCAGCGTTTTGATTTGTTTTGTTGCATATTTATGCATATTTAGTACCAGACAGTACTAAAGGAAAGTTCTTAAGTC